CAAGAAATTTCTTCGCTCAGCCGATGATGGTGGTCACGGTGGAGCTATGGTTCACGAAGCACAGAATATCAGGGCTAGAGTGGGTCGCCGTCGGGACTGGTCGCCGGTGTCGTCTGGGGGACTAGTCGCTAGTCAGGATGGGTTTGGTAGAGAAGGACAGGTGAGTGTGAAGCTGAGTGAAAGTGAGAGTGATTGTGCTTGAATGTATAACTATAGCAACGGGTGGGAATAAAATGAAATTTCAATTATATATATATATATATTTATGGCCGTTAGATGTGCAATAACTGATCTCAGCCGTTGCAAGGAGGAGATCAAGGAGGATATGCAAGGAGGGGATTCAGACTCGTCTTCAGCATGGCGACCCACCTGAAAAGCCTCCAGCATGGCTCTTTGGATTTTGTGGGTTGGACAGTAGTGAGGTCGGATAATGTTAGGGGTACAAAAAAACTTATTAAATAAATAATTAAATATCTCACATATGGATGTAGGGTCTATATGTAAGATATTTAGTTATTTATTTGATAGAAAATTTTAAACCTATAGCATTTTTCTTTTGACTTCTGATTGAACCACTGCTGACAAGGATAACAAAGGGAATCGGTTTTTTATTGAAAAATTATTCTATAATAATGTCACAAATTAATTTTAATCATTCATAAATAAGTTATGCTAAAGATTCCAAACAATCTACTAAATATTTTATCGAATCTCTCACGTGTGTGTGGGATCCACACAAATGTAAATTTGTGTGAGTCACACCACACGTGAGAAGTTTAGTAAAATATTTAAGATACATAGCATTTCTCTTTATAAATATGTCACCCCACCTGATTCCATAGCAATAAATAATTGAGATTAATTTATGAGATATTTTGAAAAGATGATTAAAAATTATTTTTTAATTTTTTTTTAACTTTTTATAAGAGGAGAAAGTAGATTAAAAGGTGAGAAGTGACTTTTAATCCACTTTTCAAAATAGCTACATCAATGCCTCATTGAATAATTGCTCGGTTTATTATAATGGTGCAACTCTGTCGTACAGGTGCCGTTTTTATCTGAATTTTATTTTAAAATGCTTTGGCATGGAGATATATATAAACAAAAATATTAGAGATTTAAAATTTTTTATTAATATCTTATATGAAATATTTAATAAAATTTTTGAGATTTCTATATTACTCATACATAAAACAAGGCAGAAAGCTGGCGTGAATGCATACCTCACCGTGGGTATTAAGGTGGTGTTTGGCAAATGATTTTGGGACTAAAATAGTTATAAAAAATAAAATAAGTTATTTTAGTCACAACAAATAAAATATCACATCCAATCCATAATCATTACACTCTTCTCTCATAAAAAAAATTAAAAAAGTTAAAAAGCCAAAAAGTCCTTTCCAAACCAAGCTTTTTAGTCCAGGCTAAAATAGCTAAAAAAGCCAAAAAGTTACCCACTTCCCAAACAGAGGCTAAATGATTTAAGGTCTATTTTGATAATTAAATTAAAAGTCAAATTTTTTTAATTCTTTTAGATTATATCAATTTTTTACATTATTTTTTTTAAAAGTCAAAAAATAAAAAATTTAAATTTAATTTACTTTTCAAAACAACCCTAAGTTATTCGAATTTAACTTCCATTTGATTTGTACTTTATTACATAAATAATTTAAATTTAAATATAATTTTAAATTTGTTAATTTTTTAAATTAAAATTTAAAATTTTATTGTTTAGATCGATAAATTTATATATATCATAAAAAATTAAATTACTTAAATTTAATTAGTATTCGACTTGTTAAAAATTTATTTGAAATTGACCAATTATATAAATTAATTAAACTTAAATATAATTTTAAACTTATTATGAAATTAAACATGAACAATTTATTCCTCCTATGCCCCACCTTTGCTCATTTTACAACTATTATTATGTAGATTTTTTTTTATTGAGTAAATTGCATGGGATAATAACTCAAAATAATTATGAGTAATAATATAGTACAATAAGAAAAAAATTACAATTTTTTTTTTTTTTCTCCACGTGATGATAGCCTTAAGAGTTGTTGATAATTATTACATAATATAGTTAGGGGTGTAATTTTGGCCCGTGACCCGCGGGTGGCCTGAAGCCCGCCCGCGACCCAATGTGTCCAGGCCTGTTTAGGCCCGAGCCCAGCCCCGAGGTCATGGGCCAGGGCATGGGCCATCATTTTGAAGCCCAACCCATTTGGCCCGGCCCGTTGCCTAGCTCATCGGCCCGCTCAAGGTCTGGCCCGCTCGATCCACCCGAGACCCAGTGTTATTTTTAATGAAAAATAATAAAATTTTGATGGAAATAATAAAAAAAATAAATAAATAAAATGGTTTAGGCCCGCCCAAAGGCCAAGCCCAGGCCCAGGGGCCCTGCCCGAGGCTTGGCCCACTGGCCCGTTCAAAGTCTGAATACCCCTAGGCCTGGACATAATTTTCTAATCCGTGGGCCGGCCCGGCCCGATTTTTGGCGGGAGCCCGCAAGGTCCGACATGGACCGGGCCAAGCTGGGCCAAAATTACACCCCTAAATATAGTGTGGTGAGTTGGGATTTCAGCCTTGATGCTACTAAGAGGATGATCCACATCACATCGTGTACATGAAAATAGAGAATAGGTTCCGACGGGATGATGCGCCAAGTGAATTCTCCGAAGCTTTTATTAGTCTTCTTTTCATAGTCTAAGTTTCTGTTTCTTTTTCACATACTTTGCTTCTAGTGCGAATTCTCTGTATATAAGTGTTCCTCCTTTCATTATTATCTCTGATTTGAACACATCTTATCTCATTAATTTCTCTTCTACTGATGTGGCATTTTCTTTTCTTATAATCACCATTTAACCATTCTTACTCGGCATTTATGTACCTTGCCGATGCTGCAAACGACTTCTCGGCATGCAGGTGCTTGGCCGATGTGCATTTGTGACCCCTTTCGATTGGCACCCTTTTTGCGCCATACCAAAGCACGCATATTACTATAGGCTTTAATTCTAGTTACCACATACAGTATGAGTAAAAAACACTACAATTTTATTTGTCTGGTTGATGATAAGCTTAAGAGCAGTTGATAAAAATTATATAATGTTAAAATATTTATAATTTCAATATATATTTCAAAATATTCTTATATATTTTTATTTATTTTTACACATTTCAATACATTTTATATATATTTTTTCCGACACTAATAGCATTTCTAAAGACTTTTTAGCATTTCTCTTTTTATTTTATTTTATGCAAAATAGTATAGTTTAATGCAAAGACTTTTTACTTTCAAATAAAGCATTCATAAAAATGATTTTAATTTATATTATGACGACACTGTCACATTATTCTTATGGTATTTTCTATATAATTTTTTTTTGATAAATTTCACTAGTCTCTAACATTTAGATAAAATATAAAAATTCCAATAATTTTGAATATATTTTAAGATATATTAAAATTTTAAGCTCAATACGCTATTATTATACTCTAAAAACCCATAAAAACCCAAACTAACTGAAGCACATTTAAAATTGATTCCAAATATAAATAAATCAAACTTCAAAATATTTTAAAACCCTTTAATTTTTTAAACACAAGTCTTACACCCCCCCCGCTACACTTTTAGGAATGGCAACGGGGCAGGGCGGGGCCGGGGACCACACTCCCCGTCCCCGATGGCAAAAATTTCCCCGTTCTCGGCCTCGATCCCCGATGGGGAACCTATCACCGTCCACCAAAAATTTCCCAACCAAAAAAAAAAAAAAAATCAGCTTTAAAAAATACAACAATTCATCAACAACAACATCCTCAACATCATCAACAACAACATCAAACAACTTCATCAACATCACAGAGATCTGAGTATAGAGATCGATCTAAGTAGAGAGAGAGAGAGATGGAATTCGATCAATCTGCTTAGATCTGCTCAGTTCGACGACTCTGGCATCGTGCAGTAACGGCGGCACGGAAAAGGCGACGATATTCGATGCTCTCTCTCTCTTTGCTCTCTGCTCTCTTTGCTTAGAGGAAGAGGAAGAGGTGGCGCGAAAAGGAGGAGAAGAAGAAAGAGGGGACACAAGGAGGAGAAGAAAGAAGAGGCGCCGCTGATTCGGTGCTCTCTCTCTCTCTCTCTTTGCTCTCTCCTCTACTTTCTCTTTTCTCTCTCTCTGTGTTTGTTTTTTACTTTATTGTTTGATGGACAAACATAATAGACATATATATAGGAATTTCAGTTCGGGGGGGCCAGGGACGGAGACGGGCTGGATACAGTACTGGAATATTTATACCCATCCCCTACCCGAAATTGATCAAGGATTAATTTTTGAATACCATCCCCGCCCCGTTGGAGATATTTTTCGGAAAAAAATCATGCAAATCCGAGTTGGGAAATCGGGTCCCTGTTGGGCCGAGTTTAAATTGCCATCCCTATACACTTTCCCAAGAACAGCGAGTACAACATACAGAATTCCTTAGTTTTACACTGGGAATCCTGAAAACAACCTATTTAGATACGATCCCTATAAATATTAGAATTGACATAGATGGGCTTTCTCCGGTCCACAAAGTAGACTAAACTGTACTGTTGGATCCGTGAGGCCCATCACAGGTCTCATTTCAATAATTTGAACCATTCAATATGTAAAACTCGTCGAATACTTTGTCTACAAAAAATTACGTTAATCGGAATACATTTAGTCAATAGTAAATATGATTTAAAAAGTAATTTGTTAATAAAAATGTATTCTAATCAAGAGACTATCGATATTTGATTAACGTGATTTTTTATAAGGATAAAATATTCGACAAACTTTATACAATGGTTCAAATCATCAAAATAGAACCCATGATAAGCCCCACAAACCCAACAGTACAGTGAAGAGAAACCCATTCCTTCTGATAAACTGAATAACACATTACAAAAGTTTGTCCCAATATCAAGTCGAGCTGCAAAATATATCAGTATAATAAGGCACATCAAGAGAACATGGAAACTAAATACATAAAACATTTGATGAAATAAAGCCGAAAATCAATTTACACAAGATAATCTGGAACTCCATTAAGCACTTGGGAAGCATATTCAAATTTAGGCAGCAATACAAAAAATAGCTAAAATTTCTAGCCAATAACAGGAAAATAAATTTTTTCCATACCCAGAAAAAAAGAAAAAAGGAACAGCCCAACTCCACAGCCCATAGGCAGATGGTGCAGCTTTTATTGCAAAAATTTCACATTTTAATTTCTTATTGGTCCAAAAGGCGAGTGTTGAAAATTTCTCAAGGAAGCACAGCCCTGACTTCTTTCCTATCTGCCCCGCATGCCTGCAATGAAGATCCAAAACCAATTTACGTGATCTAGGTAGGCACTGAGAATGAACTCGTCCAACAACAATTTCATCTAGACTAAATCAAGACACCAACTTTTATTTGCTTATTAATTTGTAATGTTACTACATAATGGCAAATCATTCTTTTGAATCAGTGCTAGGGCACTCCCTGAATGGGATAGCATTCATTCTTTTAAGATGTAGGTTAATTAACAACGATACATAATTATTCTCGGAGACAAGGTTCAGTTTTTGTATTCTACCTAACGGAATCTATTTTAATGTCTATAACTTGAACATTGAAGTGTTTCTATCTTTGATTCCTTTCAGTTTGCCCCTTTTCTGAATGACTACTCATTAGTTCATCATACTCCTAAAGAACCCAACAAAAATAATTCTCTTCTACCCATTTTGCTATATTTTTTTTCCAGAAACATCCAATCGACTATACATCATCCTAATGTACAGTTAAAACAGGATTAATGAAGGAGGTAAACGTTGTTTACAGATGCAAATAATCATGTCAAACAAATTGTACCTATCGCCTCTGCATTGTAACATACTTAGATGATGTCAACAGTGCATATTCTTTTTTTTTCATCAAAAGTAAAAAATATGATTGTCGAAAATTTGGTGAAGGATTTGGTTTATCCTTGATTTGGTGAAAATTTTGCCTCTCCCTTAATTTGATACAAGTTTTGATGAAATAATTGGAGCTCATTTTTAGCTCTTGATTCATCACATTTGAATTGGATGAAAGAATTAGTAAAGGATTGGAGATGCTCTAAATCAACACCACTTATTATCTCTTCATTTTCTATTTTGATGTCTACATTTTCAGGGTAACCTAATTACCAGAATCTGAGGGGGGAAAATTCTACCTCAACTCCAAAGCCTTTAACATACACGTTGGTGAAGAGTTCAGAAGGATCTGGCATAGGGATTTCCTGAAATTGCAGAAAAACAGAAATCATTCATAGCCAGCAATACAAGAAATGCTAAAATTCAAAGGTGTTGCACTAGAACTATAACAATGAAGAATGAAAACATGATGGGTTTCTTACCTTGGCTTGAGCAATGGCTTCATCTACCTCTTTTCTGATTTCCTTCTCCATATCCTGCACAGAAATAAATAAAAATATATGATAATGGGAAGACAAACTTCCTCAATATGAAGTTGCTATCTTGTCCACAAGACTGCAACAAAAGCTTAAATCAAGAACCCGCAACAAATAAATAAAGCTAATAATAGATTCTTTTATAACTAACTACATTTCAAAAACATAGAATTTCATAGGCAAGGATTTAAGTCATTAAGTACCTTCAGTTCCTTTTCGGTGGCGATATCATGAGATAGTACCAGCTTTCTTATTCTTTCAATTGGATCACGCTCCTGGACATATTTGCAGCACATCCCAAAAGTTCAGAAATCTAATACTTAATATTAACAAGAAGTTCCATTCAGAGGGAGCATGTTATTCAGAATATGACCTGTCTCACACCAGTAATTTCATCACGTGTGCGATAGGTACTCCCAGGATCAGACATGGAGTGACCATGGTACCTGTAAGTGTCCATTTCAAGAATCTGAAAAGAAGGGGAAAACAAGTCATTTACACATTAATAATAAGAATAGAGTAACAAAAATGAAGCATAAATTACTCCTGCCAACTTGGGTCAAATCGGGGAAACAATTATGACGTATTGGCACAAGAATACATGACCATTTATCTACAAAAAAATACACAACAAATAACAGGGAATCTAAACTGGTAACAACTTCATATATGATGCCCTGTACCACAAAACATAGTATCACAAAACATATTCTACATCCATTACAAGATCTACGCATCCCATGTACATGCCTCACTTTATTAATCCAAGACTAAGGCATGTCTACAAAAGAAGTGCAATTAGGAATCATATTAATTGTAAGAATGCATTCTGAAATTGACTATAAGAGAGTAACAAATGTCAGATCCTGAATTCCGATCTGCACTGCGGGCCTACTCCCGCTCCTGCATGAAAGTCTCCACCTTTTTGGAAGTATCTTGAGTTATAAAATAGATATCCATCATGAACTATGTCTCTTGTACTAGCATAATATAGATATTTTGATCAATTACAAAAAATGAACTCATGGCATCCACCAATTTGGATGATTTGCCAACACTTAGGAGATGTTTGATTAGTAGAATTATAGCATAGGATTGGGATTGTTAGTCCATGGATTCACAATCCTATGTTTGATTGCAAATTTTATTAATCCGACGACATTGGCGAATTTTAAAATTGAGAGGGGCTGGGGATATTAACTTCAAGTATGAAAAAATAAAAATAAAATGAATACATAATCAATGATTATCTCACTGATTTAATTAGATAACTAATCCTACACTAAAATTCATGAGATTATTAATCCTTTCACTATTAATCGTGTTAATCAAATAAGGCCTTAAAACACTAGCGCTAAAATGGCTTTGGTCCATTTCTCTTTTATTTTTTTACTATAGTGATGCTTATAATATTAAAAAAAAAATGTTAATAAACTAAAACTACGAGTCCCCTCTTTTAGGTTCTAAAACAAGTCCAACCATCATTTGTTACAGAGCGTAGAGCAAGGTCTGCTATTATCCATGCCAAATACAAAATTTGGCAACTCTTCCAAATTTATCTCTACTTGTGTGCTATCTTCCATACCAAATCAGAACAACTCCAATGGTGTGCTATCCTACATGCCAAAGCCCAAATTTAACAACAATTCTTTCAAATTCATCTTTTATGGTGTGCTATCTTCAATATCAAATTATAGTAATGCCAAAATTTGGCAAGAGCTATTATTTTTACCTAGAGGTGGGGTCCACAAATTAAATTTATATTTGATTTTTTGTGAAGAAAATGAAAGAAACAACATTTTCATCATTGGAGTTAATAGGATACACATCAAATTATATTAAATTGAATGAAGTTATTTTCAGAACAGATTGATAATGTATATTTTAAAATGCGTTGAACGAATTTTTTCTTTCTTGGCTTATTAAATAATTTTTTTTTAAAAAAAAAGGACAACTAAAGGACCACCACCCAGTAGATGTATAAATAGTAAACTTCTACACATCTCTACTCCAAATTGTCCATAATTCAACAAGACTCAATAAAGAGAAACCGTCCTCATTTTCACCAAAGACAACAAAATTTTCAAAAATTCTACTTGTCTTAAGAACAAATAATTGTGAATCCCTTCAAAGGAATGTTGGTTCCTCTCTCTCCATCACCTAAATACACCACATCAAGCAAGGAAATCCATTCCAAACAGCTGACTCAGAAGACACATTTCCAACAGTAAAGAATCTCAGCCAGAGCATATCTAGAAATACTCAACACAGCCCAGAGAGAGTCAAAGCCAGCACCAACATCTCCCTTGCCACACAAAAGTGAATTAGGAGATAATCCACCAAATCCCCTGTTATCTTACAGATACAACACGAATTAGGAATCAATTACTTCCTCTGAATCAGATTATCATTTGCAAGGATCTTTTAAAAAAATACCTCCAAACTTGAATTGGATGAAGTATTCTGCTCCAATTAAAACTAGAGGAAGATAAGCTTTATTTGAAGAAAATGATGGGAATTTTTGGGGTTTTAAAAGCCTTGTATGAAGTTCTAAAAGCACTTTTAGGCCATTTTTCATATCATATATCACAATTCAATCTGATCACTCCATTTATAGTCATAGTTGATTTTGAAGCTTTGCACCACATGTGAACGACACAAAAAATAATCCCTTATGTAGAGATTCTTAAAGATAAATTCTTCTTAATCAGCTTAATTCAGCTGTAAACACTTTTTGCGCCTATACTTGAAAGACAAACAGCCAGATCAACTCAGCAGAGAATATAATATTTAATAAGTTGACAAACTAAAATTGGAAGAAACAAGATACAGTTTCTATAGGAATAATTGAACATAGAAAGCTACAAAAACATAGAAAGGCAGAGATGCCAGATAAATATACTCACAATGGGTCCATTCTTCAAGGCGTGCTCCTTGGCAAATTTGCAAGCTTGTTTCACAGCAAAGGCATCCATACCATCTACCTGTTTCAGAATGAGAAATACATAACAAACCATAAGCCACAGAAAACAGTACGTCAATAGAATAACAATGATTTCCAATAATCATCAGAGCCTAGCCTTAGTATTCACTTATGCAAAAAATGAAGGGAACAAATTCACTACACTAAGATTAGTTTAAACTTCGAATACCCACTAACAAAACCATTTACATTCAGAATTAGATAACAAAGTGAAAGAAAACTTATAGTCCCTAGAACAGTCCTTTTTTTCTGTAAGTACTCAAAGGCAGTCTATTTAGACAGTTTCAAACTATAGAGCACGGACACGGACACGGGACATGACAATTTCTAAAAAATGGGGACACGGATACGGGAGGGGATATGGGGAATTTTTTTTTTTATATTTTTTTTCTATAAATAAAAATAATTTATTTAAACAAATAATAATACCTAAAAAATAAAAATAAAAGAAAAGAGGAAACAAAAAAGTTTTTGTTCAAATATATATATATTAGTATATTAGTATATAAATATATATGTATATATATTAGTATGTATTATTAGAAAAACAATTAATAGAATAGAACAAAGAGCGACGAACACCATAGTGAGAGAGAGAGAGAGAGAGAGAGAGAGAGAGAGAAGAGAGGAAGACGAACGCAGAGAGAGAGAGAGAATAGAGGAAGACGAGAGAAAGAGACTCTGAGAGAGATAGAGAGACTAAGAGCGACCAAGACGAAAAAGACGATCGGAGACCAATCACCGATGGATGACCGACGACCGACGACTCACCAGCGAAGAGCTTGCCCGACGAGCCCCTCTCTCTCTCTCTCTTTCTCTCTTTCTCTCTCTTCTGTTCTAAGTTCGATTCTTGATTCTAGGTTAGAAATAGATCTAGTTTTGTTTTTACGAATTGACCCCACACAAGTTTTATAAATTAAAAATGAGCCCCGCCGTGTCCTATGCCGTGTCCCGCATGTCCTTGTCATGTCTCCGCCGTGTCCCCTACAAAAAAAAAAATCATTAAATTAAAAGGACACGCCATCTGGCGTGTCCCGAACGTGTCTTTAGCGTGTCCGCGTGTTGGACACTGCCAAGGCACCGATTTTGGAGTGTCCATACTTCATAGGTTTCAAAGTTGAAACCAATTACCATTTGAAGATAGTGTGCAAATTTCATTAGCAGTGTATTTCATCATATTGTCCCAATAATCATGATAAATGCTTTGTTGAGTTGAGATCGGTCATTTTGATCGCAATCAAACAGTGGGCTAAAATGCACAGTCAATTCTTAATTTGAACAGATGATCTTACTTCCATTCTTTTAATCTCACAACAATACCTGCCAATTAGCTGGCTGAAAAGTACAAAAGGCAACGGTTGCCATGTACAAGCTCTCAATTGAAAAGTCGTTATATAAAATGAAGAAACAAAAAGTACATCACCTTTTCATGATTTGTAAATATTCTTCAATTCTTCAAAAGAACCAATCATCCAACAAATTGAAATGAGTTTAAACATTTAGGAGTTGTTGTCATTACAGAACTCCAATCAGCTTCACTATGAACCCGTATAAAAAGTAGCAACCACAAGGGAATCACCCCCAAAAAAAAATTCATTCTAAAGACTGTGAGGCAAACTAAAATAACCAATAAAATCGTTGTTCCACAAAGCGTACACTAACCAAGCACTTCCAACAAAAACTGTAGCTCAACATACTTAAGATTCTTTAAAACCTTGATAGGGAGTCGTCAAGCAATAGAAGGGAGAAGAAAATATGCCAAACCAAAAATCTAGTTTTTTTGGGGGGGGGATAAATAATATGCCAACCAAAAAGTTAATACAGAAATATTAACAGAACATTGAAATATCAATCACTTGAATTTCCTCGGTATGGTATTGTATCACTGGAAAACTACGAACTGGTATTTCAAATCACATAATTTCATGGTATCATTGACTACAAGAAGTAACATTTATCAGCAATTTGTCATCAAACAATTAGAAAACATTCATATAAGTCGCAGCAAAAGTTCATTTTCACCTTCAAGCCAGGAACATAATCGCCTCTCTTGTAATAGGCAGGACTCTTAGCGGCTCTCCATTCAGCTGTCCCCATTCCATCTGCACCAACATTTCAAAATCAATCATATCACACAACAAATACACATACATAGAAATATTTGAAATTGAATTCCTTGTCAAATTATCCATCCAAACCAATTCTTACAGTGATTGTTTTCGCAAACCAAAATCGCAGGGAGATCCCAAAGCGCGGCCATATTAAGCGCCTCGAACAACTGTCCCTGATTCGCAGCACCATCACCATACATTGTAAAGGTCACATGCTCTTCCTTGGAGTACTTCTGAGCAAAGGCCAATCCACAACCTAAAGGCACTTGAGCCCCAACAATCCCATGACCTCCATAGAACCCACTTTCCTTCTTGTAAAAATGCATAGAACCACCTTTTCCCTTCGAACACCCAGCTTTTCGTCCCATCAGCTCCGCAAACGCCTCAAGTAGGGTTCCGCCGCGGCCGAGGAAGAGGCAGTGGTCGCGATAGGCGGTGATGATGCAATCCTTCTTGGTGATAGCCGCTTCCATTCCGATCGCCACCGCTTCTTGGCCGTCGTAGAGGTGGCAGAAACCGCGGATCAGCTTCGCTTTGTAGAGCGAATCGGCGGCGATCTCCATCCGACGCATCATCGCCATATCTCGGAAGAAGGTTATGAGCTCTTTGGGGGTGGTGGTGACGGTGCGAGACGGTGGTTCGCAGTTGTGGCCGGTGAAGGGGACACTGGTCTCGACGGTGATGGAGGTTGAATCGTCCGTGGAGAATGAACGGCGGAGAGATGGCGTGTATGAGACCGCGGTGGAGAACGGCTTCAGCAGATTCGAATACCGGTGAGTCAGAGCCATCTTGATCGTTCGTTTGCCTGACTTTTCTCTGATCTCTGCTCGTTTTCTCTCTCTGAAATGGAGCCTGAGAAGTTGAAGGGTTTGGTATGTGAGACAGAGAGAGAGAACGCGAACACAGAACCAAAAAACAAAAACAAAAACAAAAAAAGCGAAAGTTGACAGTACAATTAAACTTACACCTCGGTGAGGTATCTTGCCTCACAGGCGATTTTTATTGGTTGAGTATCCTACGACGTTACATTTTGGTTGGCTAGTGAGTCCTCTACGTGTTATGCCGACTTGCTATTTTCGGAAAGTCGTTTTTGTACAGATTAGTTGATTTACAACAGTGCCCTTAAAATTCAGATTTGTTCTTCTTTTGTAAAAACAATAAAAAATAGATTTACTAAATTACAAAAATGCTTTGATTTTATAATTTACTAAAATGCTTTGATATTACAATTTACTTTAAAATATTTGTTATTTTTATATTTTTTTGAGAGTTTTTAGATCCTTCTGAGGATATTTTGGGAAGTTTGGCTATTATTGTCACTTTGCAGATTTTTCTCTTGAGACATTTTAGTACACAAAGATAGGCACACATGATTAGGTGGTAGCATCATGTGATTCTTTATTTTTGGTTATGGGTCCAACCTCCAAAAAGTGAGTGTTCCACCAACCACAAAATACTTCCAGTATCCGCAATATATATAAAAGAATAGAGCTTCGTTGCTCGAATTTTTTCCTTCCTAATTTTTTGAATTTTTAAAACGACGTCATTTTAGATTTTTTTTTTTTTTTTCTTTTTCTTTTTCTTCTTCAACGAGTCTGAGACAGAGGGAGAGGGAGAGGGAGAGGGAGGGAGAGGAAGAGAAAGAGGGAGAGGGAGAGAAGAGAGGGGAGCAGCAGCTCCGACCGCCGTCGTCGCAGCAGCAGCTCTGATCGCCGATCGTCAGCTCGTCGCAGCAACAGCCCGTCGCCCGTCGCAGCCCGTCAGCTCGTCGCAGCTCCGGCCCCGCCTCCGCCTCCTCCTCCCCCTGTGGTTATGGCCCCCTCCAATCCTCCTCCTCCCTCCTCCTTCCTCCTTCCTCCTCCTCCTCCTCCTTCCTTCTCTTCTCTTCTCCTTCTCTGCTTCTGAAAAAAAAAATAATAATAATTAGGGGGATTCGGGGGAGCTCATTTTCGAGCTCCCTAGCATTATCCTATAAATGATAAGACAGATATTGAAAATTTGAAAAGTGAGAAGTAGACTTGCAAACTCATAAAAAATATAATATTTATTTTTAAAAATATGTTGTATATATTATTTAAATTTTTATGAGTTTGAAATTGACCTTATTTGGTTAGTCTTTGTTTTTTCTTTTTTTTTTCAAACATCTGTTTGGTTCATCTTTTGAGAGACAATTTTTGAGAAAAATGTTTAAAAATTTGTTTGGTTAAATTTTTTTTTAAAAAAAATTCAAAATTATTTTTCTTTGTAGTATGTATTAATTAATCACTTTTTCTTTCTCATCCGTCATTTTCTCACATTCTACACATCAATCAATTAATTTTTTTTCACACTTATCTATTCCATTGCATAACAAAATCAAATCATCTCAAACTTCAAGGCCTTGTTTGGTAACCATTTTGTTTTCCGTTTTCAATTTATATTTACAAAAATTTACAAAATTATTGTTACCTAAAAAGCAACCTAAGAGAGGGGTGAATTAAGTTTCTACAAATTAAAATTAATAATACCCAAATAAAATTAACTACTAGTATAATAAATTATTAATAAGCACAATGATAAATTTAGCAGTAAATGATCAAGCAAAATAACAATGAAGTATAACTAAAATACAGGGTAAATCAAATGATTAACACATGAATATTAGATAGCTATAACAGTAGTAGGAAAGTAAAGAAATTAGGGAAGAGAAGACAAACAGGTTTATAGTGGTTCGGCTTCAACCAAGCCTACATCCACTCCTCAAGTTTCACTTGAGATTTTCCACTATCTTCTAGTTTCACAGGGGTGCTAACAACCTCACCAAATAAAATTAACTACTAGTATAATAAATTATTAATAAGCACAATGATAAATTTAGCAGTAAATGATCAAGCAAAATAACAATGAAGTATAACTAACATACAGGGTAAATCAAATGATTAACACATGAATATTAGATAGCTATAACAGTAGTAGGAAAGTAAAGAAATTAGGGAAGAGAAGACAAACATGTTTATAGTGGTTCGGCTTCAACCAAGCCTATATCCACTCCTCAAGTTTCACTTGAGATTTTCCACTATCTTCTAGTTTCACAAGGGTGCTAGCAACCTCATAAATATGAAGCAATCCTCCATAGATTTTACACAGACTTCACAAGCCCAAACCCTTGCAAATCTTAGCTGATTCACAATCACTCTCAAGGTTTCAAGAACACAGTGTTTGCAACACGTTTACAAGATGAATTGGTATTTTTGCTTTCAAAGAAAGCTTACAATAATTATCTCTCAAAAATAAATATAAAAATGAAGCTCTGGATTTTCAGTAAACCTCATACAAGAAAGATGAGCTTAATGCTATAAGGCTCAGTGTATAATTTCTGAGAGAGAATATAAACAAAAATTGAAGAATACTTCTCAGAGAATTTTTCAGAGAATAGATGTGAGTGATTATAGATCAAAGAATATTTTCTATATTTTTTTTTTTATTACTTGTTTACATTAGAGGCTTTGGTATATATAATGAAACTTATAGCCGTTTATAACCGTTGTATTCATTTGAATTTATAGCCGTTATACTCCATTATTACTAATTTGAATATATTCCACTTGAACCTTTTGAACCTTTGGGCCTGCTGCTGTACTGGGTTGTTTGAACCTTTGTTTTGGGCTGTTTGAACTCCTGATTTAATCAAATATTAAATACATTCTAACAACATTAAGGATAAAGGTTTAGGTGAGAAATAATGGGACAAAATAAATTTTGATTCTATTTTTCTCTTTTAAATAAATCATCAAACTAAATTTTGATTCTATTTTTCTTTTTCAAATAAATTAAAATATAATTAAATAAATCATCAAAATAAATTTTGGATTCTATTTTTCTCTTTCAAATAAATTCATAATTAAATAAATCAACAAAATAAATAAGTCTAACAATTATCATAAAAACTTGTTTGGTAAATTTTTTGGTTTATAAAATAGTTCTCAGTTTGTAAATTTGACCAAAAAAATGCAAACTCAAAAAATGTATTTCCATTGGTTTATAAACAAAAAAACGAAAGCCACTGTAGCGAAGCTACAGTAAATGAGTTGTAGGCATAACGACCACGGTTCGAATCTTCAGAGCACCACATTTCAATTTATTTTCTTCAACAGTAATAAAACTTGCTTATCATCTTCTTTTGCTTCATGTTGAAAAAATCTTGAAGAGCAGGTGAGTCTCTCTCTCTCTCTCTCTCTCTCTCTCTCTCTCTCCTTTCTTCTCTGTGTTTCACCGAGCTTCCATGTTTTATTTTTTTTCTTTTCTGAAACATTACTAATGTTGCAATTCGGCAGATCTTTGTAGATCTTCCAACCAAATCGATCTCAGGTCTCTCTTCTCTCTTTCTTTCCCTTATCTTCTCTATGTTTCACCAAGCTTCCATGGGTTTTTTTTTTCTTTTTTTTAAAAACAACAAATTTGTTTCAAATCTGCAGATCTTTTGCAAATTTCTGAACCAAATCGATCTCAGGTCATTCTCTCTCTCTCTCTCTCTCTCTCTCTTTCTCTCTCTCTCTCTCTCCACCCTCTCTTCTCTTTTGCTCTCTGTTTCACAGAGAGCTTGAGCTTCTTTTTTTTTCTTTTTCTTTTTAAACAACATATCTACTGTTTATATATATATATATATATTGCTGGTAGTTCTTTGTAGATCTGTATCTGTGCTAGATTCATTGTAAATTTGTTTGTGTTTTTTATTTATTTATTTATTTTTAAGAACATATACTGCTGGTGGTAGCTGCTAGTCATTTTTTCTTTTTTTGTTTGTTGTTGTTGGCAATTGTTGGCAAGCGGTATCTGTTGTATATAACATATATTACTTGCTCATGTTTTAGTGAATGAATAAAAATGCAAAAGCTAATTTAACTTTTTGTAAAATCAAACATGAATCGTAAACACACAGCACCCCCACACACACAGAATACACGATGGTATTTAGTCCATTAGTTCCTTTATTAAGAACTGTTATGCATGCCTAGTCTTAGAATTTATTATTGAAGACTCATTAAAATTTATGATTTATTTTCACACTATGGTATTTAGGCAATGGCAACAACAATACACAATGATCTCTCCATTGATGATGATGATGTTGTTAAAGTTGGTAGAGGAAACAGTGGTCTATGGCCTCAGAAAAATGAGGCTCTTTTCATTACCCTCATGGATAAGGAGGTCAAAACCAAGAGTAGTAAAATAACTGGGACATTCACTAAACAAGCTTGGAACAGGTTGAGAGATCAAATTAATGCAAAAACCCAATACCAGTATAACGCACACCAACTTCGAAACAAATACAATCAGCTGCGTATTATGTTCAACAAATTTACAACATTACTGAAGCATACTGGTGTTGGTTGGGATAGCCAACAACTTACTATCATTGTACCGAATAACGTTTGAGAGGCCCTTTACAAGGTTTTATTAATTTTTTGTATTTTGTTTGCTACATTTAATTGGGGAATTCTTCATGTTAACTTGAAATTCATTGGTTTGTAGGTTAATAGCCATGCAAAGAGGTTCATGAAGAAAGGGATGGTTTACTACCATGAGTTGTCTCATATCTTAGGAGACACATCTACAACTAGTAAACTAGCTCACCCTTCCACCAAATCTCCTTCTGAAAGTAGTGCTAGTTCTGATCTTGAATTTAAGGTAAAAAATGAGGACTTAGATGCATTACCAATTGATAGTGATAATGACAATGGAGATGACCAAGGCAAGTACAAGGGCAAGAGCAAAATGGCAAGTAGAAAGAGTAAGAAGATGAGCTCTTTTCAAGCTAATATTTCTGAAGCACTCAAAGAAATGAGTGAAAAATTGCAAGATGAAAGTGGACCTAATGGAAAAACGATTGACAAGTGCTTCAGTTACTAATGTTGGCGATGACGGTGGTTCAATTGAAGGTGGCTCTACTGCCTCGCATTCACTATTGAAAGAGTGCGTGGCACTATTACATGCTATGGAGGAAATTCCTGCACCTGCTTACACTAAAGCTGTGAACAAGCTTGCATCAGATCCCATAATAAGGGAGGTATTTGTTGATATGCCTGCTGGTAGGATGAGGGATTGGGTGCTTAATCTTTGAAAGTTATTCTTAGAGAGTTTAAGCTTAGTGTGGTATGTCTTTGTGTTGTTTTATTTACTAGTAATGTTGGATAATATTTGGTAGTTCAATATGTTAGTTCGTATGGATGTTTTCATGGTATTTGCTGATTCAGTGGATTGTACTTTTATTTTATTTTATTTGTTTTAGAATTATTTATTATGGAAACAGAGTCGGGTGTATGCAGCATGCTTTTAATATTGTACTTGAATGCTGTTACATTGTGAATTGATGGGTAGATATTAAATTGTTGACAATGCACTTGAATGCTACTGCTATGTTCAATGATTTTGAATGATATTACAATGGGAGTTGATAGGTAGTTGAAGTATTGAACACAAACAACCCAACTTGAATGGTACTACTATATTCAATGTTCTTCTCCTATATAATGCTTGTTGGTGGTCATTCCAAGGTTTTTTTTTTTTATCAAGAGTCCAACAAAGCTTATGCATTGTCAATAATTGAAAAAGGTATTGTGGGAGCCGAATAAATGGCAGAATCAAAAGCGTACGATCTGGAAGACAGATATTACTCGGCTTCATCCTGCACGATCAGGAGGCCGAATGCAATAGATAGGCCAAGTATCTATTGAACTATGGGGCCGAGTAAATAAACGAATAATGAGTGAAAAGTGGACTAGGCCCCGAGGCCCCAGAAACAAGTATAAATAAAAGAACAACAGACGAAGAAAGGTATGTGAGAACCATTACACTTAACTTAAAATACAAGTAATTCAGAGAGTAAAGACTGACTTGCCCGTCGGAGTGCTAATTTTGGCACTCCCGACCAGAGTGTTAATTCTTTTTCAGGTGGTTAGCTGAGGATCACGAGCGTCCCCCAAGATCTGAAGAGTATTTCCAAACCACTTCTCCACAATTGGCGCCGTCTGTGGGAATACTCAAATACATCCATGGCGGGCGTAACAAAAGACCCTCTGATAGTCACTGATGAAACCACGTAAAGAGACGACCTCACTCCAACAAACATGCTTGGACCGGAGACTATTGCTGCAAGATGTGCCTTGAATTTCGCCTCACCCTCGACTTCGGAGCATGAGACAATGCAGGCGATCATGGAACAGGCAAAGCAAAACGAACAGAGGTTGGAGAACATGATCACTGAGAACAAACGTCTCCATCAAGATTTGGCATTGGAAGTGGCGAAGTCCAAACAAGTTGTACACCTAGATCCGGAACGACCTCCGAGGGCAGGTGGTCGACGACCTCGAGCCCGACAAGACAACACCGATAGCGACTCTGACTCATTATCCCCGGAGCCCAAGAAGAAGGGGCGACCTGAAACTACCAGTTCTTCTGAAGAGAGTCCCCGTATAAGATATAAGCGAAGAAGAAACAGTTCAGATGAAGAAGACTAGCACAATCCCTTTGTACGACGGATTGTAAAAGCCATGCTACCCAAGAAATTCGAAGCACCGTCATTCACCTTGTACGACAGTAAATCAGACACCACCAATCACATCCGTCATTACAAGCAAGCCATGACGCTGCATGCAGACGACGAGGCTCTCATGTGCAGAATATTTCCGAGCAGTTTGGGACCACTAGCTGTCGGGTGGTATTATAAATTAGAGCTGGCTTCGATTAAAAGCTTCCACAAACTCCAAAATCCTTCAGGGCAAGGTTTATCACTAATGAGGTCCAGCCAAAGCAAGCCAATTCCCTCTGGGCAATGCAGATTTAACCGGGGGAAACCCTTTGTGCCTATTCAGCGCAGTATTGGGAATATTCAATATGGTAGACGATGCTTACAATGACTCCATGGCCATCACCGCCTTCAAGATGGGATTGCATCCCGACAGTGCCCTCCTCAGCTCTTCGACCAGACGGCCCCCCAAAACAGTATGGTCGTTGATGAAGAAAATTAAAGAATACTGTAAAATGGAAGATGATGCCTTGTGGGTTAAAGCCGGAAATGTGACCAACAAGACGGCTCCTGCTTCAGCCGTTAAATTTTGTAGCACCTCAGAGCCCTGAACCACGGCATCGGGCAAAACGAGATAAGAGACGGGATTCTCGCCGATCAAGTGACCAATGCTCCCACCGAGCAAATGAACAGCTGCAAGTTGACAGCAGGCGCACAAGGCGCGCCGACAAGAAATATATTGAGTTGTCAGAGCCGATCAGCACGGTCATGTCCAAAATTCAACATCTTCCGTTCTTCAAATGGCCGTCCAAAATGGTGGGACCTCCCGACACTCGAAGACGAGATAGGCGGTGCGAGTATCACAAGGATCATGGCCATGAAACTGAGAGTTGTTATGCATTGAAGGATCACTTGGGCGAATTGGAACAGGATGGTCAGCTACAACAGTACGTTCGAAAAGGCAACTCAACCAAAGCAATAACCTTAAGACAGGATTCTCCTCCACTCGGTGTGATCCACATGATATACAACCTGTCAATTTCATCCGCGGTGCATACGATTCAGTTGAATCCTGACCCTCGAAATCAACTCACTCCGGCTAAACGACCCCATGAAGCTGTAAACATTTCTTTTGATGATTCAGATCTAGCCGGAGTGACACTTCCCCACATCGATCCCTTGGTAATTGAGTTACACGTACACCGATTCACCGTTAAGCGCGTACTCATTGATCTGGGGAGCACATCAGAGGTTATATATTACAAGACATTCACCAAACTCGGCTTCTCAGAATCGGATCTCTCTCCAGCTCCTTATCCACGATTCGACTTCAACACTAATCCAGAATACCCATTGAAGAAAATCACACTACCCGTCCGAGCAGGCTCCCGAACAGTGGATGTGGAATTCTTGATCGTCAAGCTGCCATCGCCGTATAATCTCATCGTGGAGCGATCCTGGTTGCATGTTATGCAGGCCGTGCCAAGCACCTATCATCAGCTGCTACGCTTCCCGATAGAACGCGGCATTGAACAAATCTGTGGCTCTCAGAAATCAGCACAAGCATGTTATCTCCTTGCTCAAAAGACGCCAAAGGAGTTGCAAGTGAACTCTATTGAGGTAACAGATCGGGAGAGCCTCGACAATGTTGGGCGGTTCCCAAATGAAAAAGCCATGGAAGACCTCGATCGAGTTGAAATCAACGGCAACCTAGACAGGTTCTTCATGGTCGGCGCCTCACTCAATCAAGTCGACAGACAGCAGCTAATTTCCTTCCTGCTCGGCAACCTTGATGTATTTGCGTGGACTCCATATGAGATGCCGGGTGTAGATCCGTCTGTTTCACAACACCGTTTAAATGTTGACCCTAAATGTAAGCCGATCATTCAAAAAAGTCGGCGATCAGCCGCAGAGCACACTGCCGCAGTTATTAAAGAGGTTGACCGGTTGCTTCGACGTCAGGGCAATCAGGGAAGTGACCTACCCTACATGCCTACAGAGGCTACCATCAAATTGCCATACATCCAGAGGACCAAGACAAAACTACATTCCTCACCCCAAGAGGAACCTATTTTATGCCTTTTGGGCTGAAGAATGCATGGGCAACTTACCAGAGACTAGTCACCACCATGTTCAAGGAGCAACTCGGCCACACTATGGAAGTGTACATTGACGACATGGTGGTCAAATCCAAGGAAGAGCGGAATCATATAGCCGATCTGGAGGAGACATTCGGCATTCTACGCAAATACAAAATGAAACTGAATGCTTCCAAATGTGTGTTTAGGATCGGCTCTGGCAAGTTCTTGGGTTACATTGTCAACCACCAAGGAATTGAGGCCAACCCGAGGAAAATCACAGCAATCTTAGAACTCGGCTCCCCTCGTTCAGTAAAAGAGGTTCAAAAGTTGATGGGGATGGCCGCCGCACTTAACAGGTTCATTAGTCGGTCTATAGATCGCTGCCGACAATTCTTCCATACACTACAGCAGGGCAAGGCTTTCGAATGGTCCGCCGAGTGCGAAGCCACTTTCAACGGTCTCAAAACCTACTTCCGAGTGCGAAGCCACTTTCAGTTCCACTCTTGACAACACCTTTGGCAGGCGACCCGCTCATCTTGTAGCTGGCAGTTTTCGACCGGACCGTCAATGCCGTACTGATTAAAGAAGAGCTGGGGGAGCAGCGGCCAGTGTATTATGTGAGCAAGACAATGGTCGACATCGAAACACGCTACCTGTCGTTGGAGAAGCTCATCCTAGCCCTAGTCATGGCGGTAAGAAAACTGATGCATTACTTCTAGGGGCACAGTATCGGGGTGCTAACAGATTAACCACTCCGATCAGTACAACGCAGTGCGGAAGCATCAGGACGCGTTTCAAAGTGGGCTCTTGAACTCGGCCAGTACGACATTCAGTTTCTAGCTAGAACCTCAATCAAGGAGCAGGTGCTTGCCGACTTTGTAGCCGAATTTAGCGGGGGTCTTGCCGATTTCAAGTCTGATGAAATTCAACCTAAGCCGAACTGGAGAATCTATGTTGGGGACATTTGGTAGCTGTACTGTGATGGGTCATCCAATCAGCGGGGCAGTGGAGTCGGAGTAGTAATCATGGCTCCTAACGGCGCAATAATTGAGCAGGCCGTCAAACTCGGCTTCGAAGCGTCAAATAACAAAGCCGAATATGAAGCCCTGCTAACTGGTTTGCGGAACGCACATCTTCTGGGTGCTCGGTGTTTGCTTGTATTTTGCGATTCAAAACTGGTGATCAATCAGCTGAAAGGGGAGTACGCGGCAAGAAATGACAGTATGGCGGCTTACACGAAAACGACTAACTTCTTGCTAGCAAATTTTGACCATCATGAATTGAATCAGATAATACGTGATCAGAACACGCATGCAGATGCCCTGGCCTGCCTAGCCTCCGCCATTAACTCAGAGATCAAACGGACCATCGATGTGGGTTTTATCCTAGCGCCAAGCATTGGTCCTTCCAGGTCAATATCATAGAATCGGGACCGAGTTAGATGGATCCCATCGGTGCATTCCTGTCTTCCGAACAGCTCCTAGAGGACAAAAAAGAAGCGCAGAAGCTGCGAAACAAAGCCCTGCGTTACTACTTGGATTCGCAAGGAAAGCTTTACAAAAAATCCCTTTTTGGTCTATACTTAGAATGCGTGCATCCGGACAAAGTCGAAGAGCTTCTAACTGAAATACATGAAGACAGTTGTGGCGCACATTCCGGCGGGCGCTCTTTAGCCCATCGAGCTATAACACAGGGTTATTATTGGCCAACAATGAGATCTGACGCCGAATGCTATGTGAAAAAATGTGAACAGTGCCAGAAGTTCTCCCTGTTAACCCATCTGCCTGCCGAAAAGTTAAGCTCTATCACCAGTCCCTGCCCGTTTGCCTAG